CTTATAAGGAGCAGTTAGAGGCACTGAGTAAGTTTAGCATGGAGAAAAGAGTCATGGTGCTAATAAAGTTTATCATATAGAAGACAGTGAAAATTGCTCAGTGTTGTTCTAGAAGACAGGACAAAGATCAATGATTTTAAACTACAAAGGAGTAGATTTTTGGTTGCCCATTAGGAAAAAATTCTTAACAATTGAACATTCTTATTTTTTAATTAACATGTAGATGCAGCCTTGCTTTGAAAGATAATGTACTCTTCTTTTCTGGATGCTAACTTCTTGAACCTGAATGGCTATCTGTCAGGGATGTTGTAATAGTAGATTCCTACACTGGGTAGAAAGTTGGACTAGGTAACTTCCAAAATCCTTTTAAATACTTAGATTCTATTATTTCTATATTTTGTTGTAGTCTACTGGACTTACAAAACCTGATATGTTTACAAAAGGAAAGATGACATTTTCATTCTATTCTCCAACTTCCTTTCCCTCTTCTTTTCCCTTCCTCTTTATTTCAGCAAAGCATACAATGCTTCCCAGGCACTCCTAATAGAGAAATGCCAAAACATGAAATGGATACCAAGCTGAGTGAATACCCAATGAACATATATCAGTGATTCCACATCAAGCTGAAAGGAATTGAATTTTTTTTCCTCAGATATATGCCCAGGCTTGTTTCTTGAAAACCCAGCCTTCTAATGCTTGAACTGCTCAATTCCCACATTAAATGCAGACTCCTAGCCTTGAGAAAGTGCAGAATATTATTTTTATCATCATTCAGAAACCAGAAAGCTGAAGGAGAGTGGAGACAGCTACCCACTAGGAGGTCTTTCAGGACTTAAGATAATCTGCATTAGGACGTATTTTCTCATATGATTTTCTGTTGGGAAATAGTTTTGATACAAATACTAACATCCACAGGTTACTTGTTTTTATTAATGGTGACATTTCTGAAATAGCAATGGAGTCTGGTTGATTGGTTAACTTTATTTATTTATTCAATTTGTATGGCCACCAATCTCAACATGTGATTCTGAGCAGCAAACAATCATAAAGTAAATTAAAAATAAATTAATACATAATTTAAAATACATAGTCCCCACTGACTTTACTTGTCAGAAGCTGGCTGTGAAGTTGCAAATATGATCATGACCCCAGGATACCGTGACTGTCATAAATGCACACTGGTTGCCAAGTGTCCAAATTGTGGTCTCATGACTGCGGATATGGTACAATAGACTGCAAATTCAACAACCGGTTGTAAAGCTCTTTCTTAGTGCTGTTGTGACTTCAAGTGGTCATTGAACAAGTGATCAGTAAATGAAGACTCTGATGAAAAATGTGAAATATAAATATTACAAATCAATTAACTTTATGTCTAGCGTAGTCAGATTTTCTAGTGTATTGATTTTTAATTTGAATTGAATAATCCTTATGGTAGGTACAATAAGCTAAATGGATCAAGCTCCTTTTCTTGGAGTGGCATTTTTACCTTTCAATCCAATATAAGTAATTGAACAAGAATCTCAGCATACTGAGACAGTATCTTCATGACTAGCCAATCCATTCTTCTGTGAATGGATGAAAAATTAAATGAACAACTTGAAATATTTTTCATTTTCTATTTGTATTGGGCACTGCTTGTAAAGATTTGATTGGACTTATTGTGAATGACTTATTGCTAAACAAGCTCCGGAAAAGAAATATCTGCAGATACAGCCTCATAATATTATAGGTAGCTCCCTTCCAGCTATATTCTATTGGTGGTTCTGCAACAGTAAGATAGTTTTACAACTACATAAGAGTTTTCAGAATCAGTTTCCTATAGCTGCTTGTAGCTGAACTTTTTATATTAGAAACTTCTATATAATAAGGCTTATATTAGAAACTTCTATATAATAAGGCTTTTTGTGATGAGGGAAGTTAGCCCAGAAAAGGAAATATTAAAAAGGGCAGAAAAATATATTTTTCCTCAAAAGGATTTTTTTAAAAACCAAACCTGGCCCCAAATCTATCTCTCTGCCCCAAGCAAGAGCTAGCCCCATACAAATGCAGATGTAAACCCATCAGAAAGCTGAAGCCAGAGCAATCAAGAAGACAAAGAGAAAATCTGCATGCCCCACCCAAACTCTAGGAGTCATTAGCCCCATCACCTGGGAAGCAGGATATGATAATAGGATTAAACCACAGATATCAAGGCCTAGACAAACGCTCAGAAATAGCCTCAAGGTTCATGCCACAGGAACAGGAAACTATTCCAAACAAGACTAGAGGGTATAAAAACCTACTGCCCATGTGCTCAATTCCTCTTTCCTCTCCTCTGCTCTTTCTTGCAAGGACCATCTTCCTGCTTCTTCAATAAACTGTAACCTTCTTCCCAAAGCAGTCGCCATGTTGCTTATTTATCCCCGGCTTGGATGAACCAGGATGAAGACTTACTTCAAACAGTGGCTACAGCTATCACCCTTCATGAACAATAGACAACTGCCATTTAGAATTATTATTCTTTTTGTGCCATATCCGTTATCGGACATTGGCGATCATGTTGGTGATCCTGTTTTTATCAGCAGCCGCACAAAAAAGTGCTGCTGAGTTTTGTCCAAACCAGTCCCTTAGATTTTGAAGCCACGATGTTCTTCTGCCTGGACCTTGTTTGCCTTCAATCTTTCTCTGGAGGATTAAATGGAATATTCCATATTTTTCTGGGTGTCGCATCACATGTCCGAAATATTCTAATTTTTGTTTTTTAATTGTTTTGATGATTTCCCTTGGCTTTCCCAGGTGGCTTATCACCTCCTCATTTCTGATCTTGTCAACCCAGCTTATACATAACAACCGCCTGTAAATCCACATTTCAAATGCTTCTAGTTTCTTCAGGTGGCCTTCTGTCAGAGACCAACTCTATACTCCATAGAGCAGGATAGAAAAAATATAGCATCTGACAGGCCTGATTTTCAGTCTTAGGCTTATGTCGTGACTACAGAAGACCTTTTTCATTTTGAAGAATGCTGTTTGAGCTTTCTCTATCCTAGTCTTTACTTCAGTGGTCATGTCCCAGCTTTCATGTAAATTAGAACCGAGATGCATGATCCTTTCAACTTTTTCTAATGGCATTCCTTCTGAATTTATTGGTGGTAAATTAAAGGGTTGTTTGCTGACGACCATGATCTTGGTTTTTGAGGTGTTAAGCTTCAAGCCATGTTTTTCAGATATTTCTGTGACTCTGTTGATGAGGAGCTGAAGGTCTTCATGCTTACTGGCAAGCAGAACTGTATCGTTAGCATATCTTAAATTGTTGATCCAAACACTGTTTACTTTGATGCCAGCATTGATGTTCTCCAGTGCCTCGTTGAAGATTGACTCAGAGTAGATATTGAACAACAGTGGAGACAGAATACATCCCTGTCTGACCCCTCTTCTTATTTCTGCATCAGCTGAGTATTTTTGGCCTAGTCTCACATTTGCTACCTGATGCCAATACAGATTCTTTACGATTTGGATGTCTTTGTCATCTAGTCTCCCTTGTTTCAGGATTTCTAATAATTTGCTGTGTCTTATTTTATCAAATGCTTTTTCAAAATCAATGAAGCACATGTAAAAACACTGTGATTGACATCTCTGCAACGCTGTACAAGAACTTGAATGCTGAATAGTGTATCTCGTGTACCAAGATTGTTTCTGAAACCAAATTGTGTGTTACCTAGACACTCTTCAATTTTGTGGTATATTCTTGTGTGAATTATTCTCAGGAATATTTTCAGGGCATGACTCATTTAGAATAGGAGCACTGAAAATTATGGGTGGACTCAGAGTGATAGTTACAATAACCACTAAATGTAGAAAGAAAGAGTTGTCTGAAATAAAGCGCAGCGAGGCAGGAGAGGACTTCCTCTGCAAAAGGAAACATTTCTTAACTGTCAGCAACATTTAAGAAACTTGCTTCAGTGCAATGTTCTCTTATCAGCTTTGATCTAACCATGGCTCTTGTATTACCAAGCATAGACAGCATTTTCTCAAATCTATTTTCACCATAGAAATGAGGTAATATTTACATATGATTTTAAAATTACTTTGTGATTATAACATGTGCATGCTGTCCAGTATTTCATTTTTTTATCCCTTTCCAATTTGAGAGAATATTTTCCACATTCAATTGCAAAAGAAAGTGAACAATCAGCTACACATTTATTTATTTAGACATTAAATCAGATATTTTCTTGTTGAAAAAGTAGACACGGATATCTCCTTGTTTTTGACAAGCATTTGCAAAGTACATCAGGCAGTAGTACATCAGGCATTCCATATGCCCAGTTCTATGAAGGTATACACCATAATCTTAAGGAAATAAATCCTTATCAACTGATTCCCCTCACAATTATGCTGAAGCACATTCCTTGAAATAGATAACAAATAATTTCAAATCCTTTAAAACTCCTTTACAATCAGGACAACTAGCCATAAGGTTAAACTCTTTTATTCTTTCTGTCCTCAAGTAGGGAAATAATTCTTTTATTCTTTCTGTCCTCAAGTAAGGCAGTTTCAAAGGAGACCAAAGTTAAATTCAAACCTAAACTAGAGGAATGCCAATACATGGTCACCAGGGGACAGTAGTCAGTACTGGATCATATCTAGTTCAAGATGTTTGACTACTAGACTACTTGATTTTGGCTGCTCAAGAGTAAGTTATTCAAACTGATGCAATCAAGACCAGGAATGAAAAATCATGAAATGATTCAAAGTGCAGATTGTGTAAAGAAGCAGAAGAAACAGTAAATCATATACTCAGCTTGATTATAAATAACGACATAACACAGTTGCCAAAATGATTCACTGGAACATCTGTAAAAATTATCACATACCAATAATGAAAAATTGGTAGGAACATATACTTAAAAAGTAGTCAAACATGAGTAGATTAAAATCCCACAAAGATTTCAAACTACATACGAATAAATTCTTGACCCTTTACACACTAAATATATGTGGTTGAAAAAAAAGAAGATATGAATAATTGTGGCAATACCAGGGGATATTACAGAATATCAAGATCTGAAAATCGAAATGGAAAGATTATGGCATAAAATGGCCATAGTGATCCCTGTGTTTATCAGCTCACCAATTACCATTCCAAAAAATCTTGGATGGCACTTAGAAAAACTGCATATTGACAAAATTTTCACCTATCAGTTACAAATATGAATCCGCACATATACTACACCAATACATTTTGATATGCAAGGATCTTGGAAAGAACTTGAACACCAGCTAAAGAACTGGCAGCTGTGATTTCACATCTTTTTATATATAGTAATAATTTGTGAATCTTGTATGTTCCCTCCAAGTCTCAATAATTCTGTTTATAACAAACAAAATAATTAATATGAAATGTAAAGTCAACATTCTGGTAAATTAGGGCTTTCCCTCCTCCCTCTACCAAAAACTATTCTTCCTCTCAAAATAAACATTTTCTAGATTGTTCCTGACATCTCAGGTTAAAGCGAAGAGTTCCAAATAAGTGAATCCTAATGTAATGTTAGTGCCTTTCAAAAGATATACAAAACAGAATAGCCTCCCCAAAATATTTGTGGTTCAGTATAAATTAAGGTTCAATAACCTTATCAGATAGCAAGCAGGTTTTCAATCTTAAAAACTCAACTTTGGAAATAGAAAAAAAATGAACAAAATTTCATAAGAGTTGACATAACAACACTGAATAAATAGTCTTGCAAAACTTGGCTATCTCTTGAGATTTAAAAAAATATAGAATAGTGGGTGCCATCTAGTGGTGATATGGGCCCTGGTGCTGTGGGCACCAATTTGCCAACCTCCACCATATAGATGACTGCATAACAAAGAAAAACACTCTTAATACTAAATAGATAACTCTAAATTCTTTTTCAGAAAGAGACATGAAATTCTTTACCATCTTGAATCAAAATTTATTTCAAATCAGAATAAAGGTAAAATTTTATAGAACCTGGGAATGGACATTGTAATATAAACTAATTCCATGTCTCATTTTCGGTGTCCTCAGGTACCATGGTTGTTCTCTAATTTGATCTCTTTTGATAGGTAATGTGGGTAGTTTGCTTTTTCAGGTTATTTAAGCAGATTTTTCCTTCTCTTTCTCCTCAGTATTGACATCCATTTTTTAAGAATATTGAATATAATTTTTAAGTTCATTTTCCCAAATATGGCCTGCAGACTCTGCTGCAATTTCTTCACAATCACAGATCAAGACTGCTTAAGTCCCACCTCCCTGCATGTATCAATATACTAATGATTTGCAAAAATACAGTTCAATGAAACATACAAGTGAAACTACAAGTAGCAATATTTATTTATTTACGTATCAAACTTCTTAACCATGTCCCCCACAGAGGGGCTCTGTACAATTTAATCAGTGTAATAAAATATTAAAAACCATGAAATTTAAGATTAAAATATTTAACAATGTAAAATATTATAAAATTACAAAAGATGGAGAGTTCCAAGATGGGGAGATTAAAAGTTGTTAATATAGGCAGGGCGGTTCTCGTAGAGCCGACTAGCCCCATAGCTCTGTGGGCCTGTGTCCCTCACAAGACTACACAGCCAGGTTTTGACTCTTTGTGAAAGGGCAAGAGATTGAGGGCAAGATATTCCACAAAGCGGGGCAGCAGCAAAACAGGCCCTCTTCCTTGACTGACGGGGTCTGTGGCATGCCTTCCCTGCCTGAATGAGTGGGAATGATGTGATGAGTTGAAGCCGGTTTCATAGGTAGCCAGGCCCTATGCCATATATGAATAATAAATAATAAAGTAAAAGATTTTTGTATACATTTCTTATACTGGAAGATCATGTTCAGGATGAAAGTATAAACTGTGTCCAAATTTTGAAAACTCATCCTTTTAAAACTACTACAACTTTTTTGAAAATTCAACTCATACAAGCAGGAATATTATTGTTGCACCATAGAAACAAATTTATTTCAGCATATAATTTTTGTGTACAATGAAGTAGATTCTAGTCTACGCAACAGTTATCACATTCAATTGCCTAAAAGATTTCATTTTTTTTGTTTCTGCTGCAACACCAGACACACAGCCATCTCTTAGAAGTATTAAAAATGGAAGTCCCTCTTCATTTCTTTACTTTTTTCTTGTTTTTCAAAGAACGTTGATGAGCTTTTGTTCGCTGATAGACAGAGGATGCCACTTTCATAGAAGTCTTCTTATTCAAAGCGCTTTCCATGGCTCCCGGTTTCCATAGCAACAACTCTGCATCCTCTCCTCCCGTAAATAGAGAATCATCAACCATATCCCAGCAGAAGGAACGAACAGTAGCAGAGTGTCCACCTTGAAGTATTCCCCTGGAATTCAGCTCATGAGCACAACACTCTATGAGACAAATGCTTCCTGTTGACATCCCTCCAACCACAAACAATTTGTCCACTTTTTCATGATAAACACCACCAATTAAGTAATCCAGTTTGATATTTTCTACTTCTCTGACATCTGGAATATGCAATAATGTAGTTGACTTTTCAGAATCCAGCTGAGTAAGATCCCAATAACAAAATCCTTCATCATGTGTCATGCAGTAAATCTGCCAATAATCTTTTCCAGCCCATCCAATAAAACTTACAGAAGAATCAGAGTTACAAGTAGAAATCAGAGCATTTTCTTCATTGTCTTTGTTAATATCAAACACATTTACCAATCCATCAATTGAGCCTGAAGCAAGCAAATGTGGTTTGTTGGGATGAAAACATACTTTAGTAACATCATCGTTGTGAGATTCTGAATAGACACCTAGTGGCTGTTTGCTGGAAGGGACACTATTTGTACAGCCTCTTGCATCCCAGAATGTTATGAATGCATCTTCTTCCACTTTTTCTGTGCCAGCACATACTATGAGGTCATTGCAGTTTATATCACAGCTAATGAAAACATTTGAAGGATAGCCACAAAACAGCTGTACAGGCTTCACAACAGATGAACGAGTATCCCAACACTTCAATGATCCATCACTGCAAGCTGAAAATAATATATTTTCATTTGTATGTGCAAATCTGACACCACTTAGCAATGCAGGATGGCTATTATATTCTTGTAGCAAGGACAGTGTCTCCCTGTTGTAAACTTTGATTGATTTATTGGAGCAGGAAACAGCCACTAAATGGCTCCCTTCTCCTCTTGAAATATCTATGTCCAATAAATAAGATGGGTCTTCTGTTAGTGAACACCGTTTTGATATTTGAAGCCTAGAAAACTGTTCCTTGATCTTCTCCATGGCAACTGGCATTTATAGCTGCATCCAGGAAAGTAAAGGTCTGCAATAAATAAATATACTAAAATAAATCAACTTTATATTGTTAATCATTTCTATAATATTTTTCAGCACAGAGAAAAGACTTGCACCTCTAACCTCATTTATCCTTCCTTTAATATTTTATACATGAATAGACAATTTCTCTAAATCTGAGAGCCGTTCATTACTGAATGCATAAGGAATCAGAGAACTATCAGTGTTCCATAAAAGTTTGGCATTATAAAGCAAAGCATGGCATGGTCTTCCATAGCCCAGCACCAGTTAGATATGCTACCCATCTCATTCAGATAGCACCGGGTTATAAATGACTATTATAACAAACAGATAGACAGATATTGATATATATGCACATTCACACAAGGGGAGAGAGGGGAAATTCAGATTGTAGTCCTCCCTGAGACAAAAAATCTGCTTTTATGATTTTGACCAAATACTCTATCAGCCCTAGACTGGGAAGTTGAAAAATAAATTCTATCTTCCAGCCCAGACCAGTGTGGTAGATTCTGATCCAAACCTATAAATCAACTTGTGGCTGATATTGGAATAGTCAAGTTTGTAATGCTTCCCGTCCATTCAATGAATGAAATCTTTATCACCTGAATTAAAGTGGGTGGAACTTTTAGAAACCAAATAAAATATCTTCAAAATCAGATATGGCCCATGGACCTTAAATTGCCAAGCCATAGGTTATTTAAGATATTTATAGCACAACTTTTGCAAAGCAATTTAACCCAAATAATGAACAAGTATATTTAAAATTGTAAAACTGAACTGAATACAATCAATATTAGCTGTGGTATGACATATTGTCCATGTTTTCTAGACCAATATTTACACTTTGAGGGCACTGCCTTTTATATGAAAAACTAACATCCCAAACAATGGGGGAATAGCCAGTAATGCTGCATTTTTATCAGCCATTAACATTTCACTAAATCTTGTTTTGGACATGTGGAAAAATGTCAATTGGTGAAATCAGAATTCTGTGTCTCTTTAGGAATGAAATCTTAAGGTTAAACAAGCAATCTAGTTAAAAATAAATCTCTGGTGTAGCCAGGAACTCTTGCTCTTGTTAAAAGGAAGTTGCTGCTACACTATGATAGGAGAATCTAAAAAGAGACCTAACATTTGTGGGAAACATGGGAAATCATGGTTCTTTGTGCATAGTAGGACATTATGAGTTAGGACACTTTCTACTAGCAGAAATTAGCAATGCAGATTTGAAGCCTCTATAAACTTGGGATATTTTATTTCATAAAATCATGATCTTAGAATATCAGTCTCAAGGAAAAAATGCAAACTTTTTGGTTTAGCACAAAAGGTCAATGTAACATAGAGTAATTGTATTTATATGCCTTCTCCTCCAGTGACGTAAATAATACGTAATAAAGCAAACTACAGCTTAATAAGATTCATATAGTTTTTTTTCCTCTTTGCCGGGTTATATTATTTGGAAACATTTCTAGATTCCAGATTAATTCAGCTCTTCATCTAACCTCAAGCTACATAATTTCTGCAGAGGGACAGAGGCAAAGAGAGGCTTATTTACCTTCTATTCTGAGTTGCAGCTCCAAGGACTTAGCAAGCTCTCTGTCTTCTTCCATTCTTAGCTCATTCATTCATACTGGCCAACTAGATGCCTCTGGGGTATTCATCACAGGAGGAGTGGCTGGTCCCCTGCAACTAGAATTTGGAGCTATACCTCTTCCCACAGATAACTGTTGTGTCCTGAAAATTGAAAGCCCTGACAGGCCTGTCTTCCATTAAATTCTCCTAACCCCTTTTAAAGCCAACCTCATGGCTATCTCCATATTTTGTGGCTCTAGGTAACCAAACAGAACTTTCATCACAGAAACTTTCATAAATTCATAGTGGTTTAGGAACTGCTACAAATATACATAAATAAATATGGATTGGGAGTACTCACATGCAATGTGGCTAAAAAATGAAAGAATGCTATAGAACAGTGGTTCTCAACCTTTTTAATGCCGCGACCCCCAACCGGTCGTAAGTCGAGGACAACTCAACTGGTCGTAAGTCGAGGACTACTCAACTGGTGCAGCACCGTTTGCAGAATGGGACTTTTGGCAGGCTCAGCAGGGCAGAGACAGCCTGGACAATTCCTATTGGCTTTTGAAAGCCAAGAGAATTAGACTCTATTAAAGAGAGTCTATTCTATTGGCTTTCAAAAGCCAATAGAATAAAAGGGAGTAGCACAGCTAAGGAAAAGGGGAAAAAATGGCAGACTGCGTTGTTTGACGACTCCCGTGAAATGGTCGTTCGACCCCAAATGGGGTCCCGACCCACAGGTTGAGAACCACTGCTATAGAAAGATTTCCAATGCACAAAAGATGACATCTGGCTTTTAGCTGGTTCTCAAAAGTTATACAAAGTGACAAGAATGATCCATAATGAATTCCAATATTTAATTGTCATTTGAAAAACAGATGAAAAAGACTGTTGTATAAGAGCAAATTAAAAGTACTAAAAGACTGAGAAACCATCTCCCAAGAGGTCTGAAAAACTTGTCCAAGTGAGCTTTAATGATAGTGGAATATCAAACATCATAATGTTCAGTTTTTGACAAACTGGATATAAGCACCATTTCTTAAACTAAAAAGAGACCTATGAGTCATTTAATCCTACAAGGTTTTCAAAAATAGACTAGTGATTCATAAATTACATTCTTCCTCCTCCACTTAAAGAGAATACTGTGGCAATGATGAGATTTTACAATAGTTTGCACATCCCTGACAGCAATGCCAGTGGTCCATGTAACCACACAAGAGCAACCCCCACAAAACAGAGATTTTATTTATACCAAGATTTATTAATATCTGCTAAGAACAGGCATAAGATCACACAATACATTTGATTATTATTGATTCTTTCAGTTACTAACGTCTTCCCTTTTCACTTCATTCTGAATGTTTGCTATAGATTCTCTAATGCTACGATCACACATTGCTCCTAGAAGCAAGAAGCTGAAAACACCAGCCTGAAGATGACGAATGGGACTTCGTCGAAACATCGCCAAGACACTTCCAATTTGATGCGGGAGAAAACCCGAATAACCAAAGACCTACATACAAACACCCGTGAAAACCTCAGAAAACATACATACATACATATGTAGGTCTTTGGTTATTCGGGTTTTCTCCCGCGTAAAATTGGAAGTGTCTTGGCGACGTTTCGACGAAGTCCCATTTGTCATCTTCAGGCTGGTGTTTTCAGCCTGAAGATTTCACTTCCTGTCAAATTAAAAGAAAAAAAATTAACCATGATAAATTACATTTTTCCTCCTTGTGGGACAGGAAAGTTCTGACCCAAATGGTTTAACAATTTAATGCCTAGCTCTATTATCTCATATATTGTATTTTGTGATAGGCCAAAATTCAGACCAAGATAAATCGCTTCTGAATTTTTTTCCATCTTTAATATATGCAATCATGTTAGTGTAGTTTTATTATTTTCCCCTAAAAGATTTCACTTTGGTTTTTTTTTCAATTGAATTGTACAGCTTGTATGTTATATTAAAGGTGGAAAAAAATCAGAAATGATTTACCTTGGTCTGGTTTATTTACATCTGAGAAATTAGAGAAAATTTTAAGAGGGGTGTGTAGACTTTTTATATCCACTATATATAGCAGTTTATTTCAAAATCCACCCATATGCATTACTATATCATAAATATTAGTAAGCCCACATTTTACTGTGGGGTGGATAAACTGGGGCTGAATTTAAGGTCACCATTATAAGAAGATCAAAATCAGGAACTTTTCAAGTAAATGTTTTGTTTTTCAAACATTTCACCAGTGATTCTTCACATGCAATTTCCCTCTCACAAAAATCTAAACACAAGAACTTAGTTAAAGAGAAGAATGAAATCATAATAAAATGTGCCCATTTTCCTCTTTATGTTTTAGAGCAGACATGTCAAACACAAGGCCGGGGGCCAGATGCGGCCCGCGAAGTGGTTTCATGTGGCCCATGAAGCCATCCTGGAAACAGTGACGGAATGGCCCCCGCTGCTTTGGCCCTGGCCCAGGCCAGCCGGGAGCCAATGTACAATTTTGTGGTGGCCATCTATGGTGAAATGCATTCAGTCTTAGCACCACAAGGCCGTCTAGAAACAGCGAGGAACCAGCCCCTGCCGCATCGGCCCCGCCCCCTGGGTGCATGCTGGGGAGGTGTCACCCTTTGTGAGGAATGAAGAAATGGACCATGCCTTGGCGCTTGCCCCGGTCCCAACCCCTTCTGCCAGAGACCCTCGGATCCGTCCCACTCATGCCCAGGCTCCCACAGGCACCCTTGACGCAAATGATGTAGAGCTGGCCATGCCCACTCAGTAGGCCACACCCACTCCATCCACGCCCACTCAGTAGGCCTCACCCACCCTGGCCACACCCACCCGGCCCGAGGGCAACCACAATACTGATGCGGTCCTCAATGAAATTGAGTTTGACATCCCTGTTTTAGAGTGTGATTGTTGTGACTGTTTCAATAAATGTAATTATCTTGAGCACCATTGAAATAATGATAGAATCACAAAGTTGGAAGAGGTCTCCTAATCCAACTACCAGATCTCCCCCATCATTTAATTCTTTCTTCTTTCCAGATGCAGAATGTTACATTTCTCTTTGTTAACTTCTTCCTGTTTGTTTAAGCCCACTGTTTAGGCCTGTCCAGAACTTTTTGAATTTTGCCTTTTTCTTCTAAAATGATGTCCATTTCTCTAAATTCCTCTGTTCTAAAGTGATATCCATTCCTAATTTTGTGTCATCTGCAGATCTGATGATTGTCCCTACAACCCCTTCATTTAGGTCATTAATATAAATGTACCACATCAAGCTCTGGATTATGCTCTGTGGCAATCTACTACTCTCCAATGTGATATGGAGCATTTATGACTATTCTTGCCAAAATAGTCATTCAGCCAGTTAATGAATCCATCTTATAGCTCTATCAGCTGACTCGTAGTACTATTTTCCCATTTTCTACTTGCTAATTATATTAATATAAATATTTTACAACTACATTCAGTCCCTAATTACCGTGACTAAATTTTAGTGAAGTCTATGGAATACATAAGCATAAAGACTGGTGCTATACATATGGTGTATTTTCCCCTTGCAATAAAAAGTAGGCAGATGTGATTACAGGAATATTTTTGTGCTCACCTTTTTAAAAGCACACATTTATTTTGCCCTCTTAGCATTATTTTTACACAGAATCTACAGAAATGTCACCTGAAGGAACACTTTTAACACAGGAGCCAATGTACCCTAGCGAATAAGAGATTGAACTACAAACACCTGATCACATTAGCTCAAACAAGCCATTTAAACATTCATAAAGTTCAACGGTGCAATCCTGAGGGGGATCCATTACTGCATTTAATCCCTGCACTAAAAATGTTTCCTCCTGTTTAAACCTAAACTCATCCGAGGACTATAGGGTGGAAGGCTGTGAGTCCCAACTACGTTCTCCCAGGAACTGTCTAGATCAGTGGATCTCAACTTTTTAATGCCGCGACCCCCAACCGGTCGTAAGTCGAGGACTACCCAACCAGTCGTAAGTCGAGGACTACCCAACCGGTCGTAAGTCAAGGACTACCCAACTGGTCATAAGTCGAGGACTTTCCCTGCCTGGGAGCGCCGTGCATGCGTGGTGCCACCCCCTGCGCCGACCGAGGCGTAGCTGACAACGCGGCAGAGACAGCGCAGGCTGACCACCGGCTGGGCCACCAGCTGGCCCAGCCCAAGGGAGGTAAGGCACCCGCAGGGCCCCACACGCGCCAGCAACTCTTCCTGCACCCGCCGGCCTCCCACCTCCCACCCCTGGCCCTCTTTTACTTACATTTTTAGTAGTTGCTCAGCAGGGAGGGGTGGAAGCTTCCAGACAGCTCGCCTTCGCTGCAGACAACTTGCAGCACCGTTTTCAGAATGGGACTTTTGGCGGGCTCAGCAGGGCAGAGACAGCCTGGACAATTCCTATTGGCTTTTGAAAGTCAATAGAATTAGACTCTATTCAAGAGTCTATTCTATTGGCTTTCAAAAGCCAATAGAATAAAAGGGAGTAGCACAGCTAAGGAAAAGGGGGGAAAATGGCGGACTGCGTTGTTTGGCGACCCCCGTGAAATGGTCGTTCAACCCCAAATGGGGTCCCGACCCACAGGTTGAGAACCACTGGTCTAGATCTTCCCATCCTGATCCTGCGTCTTACTTTACCATAGTACTTGGTAGTTCTTGCTACTACCTACCTTCCAAAAAGTGTCTCCCCTGGCATTCACACCCTAGTGCCAGTATGAGGAGAGTTTAGGTTCCCATCTTTCTTCTGTATAACTCATGATATATAATGTTGTCTCCTCCTAGTCTCCCAACACAACAACTCTGTGAGGTTGGTTAAGATGAGAGAGAATATTGGCCCAAAGTGACTGGCCAGTGAACTGCCAAGACTGAAGATGACTTTGAATCTGATTCTCCCTGATTCCAGGCCAATATCTTAATCATTATCTCAGACTGATTTTCTCACACCTTGTGAGATATATGAAGACTGAAATTAAATACCCAATTCTTAACTGCTATAGTGATAAAGAAAATGAGACTCAGCATAATACTAAGCACAGAAATCAAAAACATAGTAGACAACTATGTGTTTACCAAACATAATTTACAGGAAGAAAAAAAAACTTTTTGAAGCAAAGAGTGCTCTGCTTTAATTTTTTAAATTTCAGTTTGGAGAATTCTCAAGACTAATCAGAGGTTGCTGGGGACAAGGGAAAACATAGAGGGAGTCATGCAGTAGAAGGTGAGGATAAGATAATTTGATTGAATCCATATAGAAAATGATCAATCTTTCACTTGTGGAGATAAGGACTGTAAATCTGTGTCTGCAGTCTGGCAGGCAGATCACATTGATAGCAAACTGGCCTCCCTTAGAAGATGTGCAAGTATTGTTCCAATATTATATGCAAGGT